TCTTCAATGAGACGGAATGGGATGTATGGAATTTTTTATGGCAGAATACCCAAATTCACCCCCAAAGTATAGTGGCAGGGACGGATCCATCCTCGAACAAAAAATGGGGACAAATTCACCCACAAAGTTTTCGACTTGGACAAATCACCCCAAATTTAACATGTGACGTCATTTGACATCAGCAATCTGTTAATTTGACGTCAGCAATCTGATGTCAAATGACGTTACACGTTAAATTTGGAGTGATTTATCCAAGTCGAAAACTTTGTAGGTGGATTTGTCCCTATTTTTTGTTTGAGGGTGGATCCGTCCCTGCCACTATGCTTTGGGGGTGGATTTGGGTATTTTGCCATTTTTTATTCTATCTTTCACCTATGTATCAACGCTAAACTCTAAAATATTCATGACTCTCAGTTGGGCGACATGCTTTATAGGGCATCGATCATGACACCATTACCTACGATTTTTATTAGTCATTGATTTTTTTTTTTGAACAATTTATAATTATTTACAGAATTAATTGGGGGAGGGGGGAAAGGGATTCCGTGTGGTTCAAACGTACAACCCACTGAAGGTGAACAACCTTAACTCAGAATCCAATATCACTAGATCGAAACGAATCATTCTATTAGCCATTGATTTTTAACTTGGAAAGCAAGTAGTTTTTTCATGCCTTCTCCCATTTGTATTTTTGTTATTTTTTTATTGTTTTATAAAGTTTATCTAACTTATATTTTACAGGTTAAAATTTATTTATTAAAATAGTTTTAATTAATTTTATATAAACTATCATTTGAGATTCATAATTTTTTATTGAATTTGAGATAAAATATTATATTATATTTTTATATTTTATTTAAATCTTATATAAAATTTTTTATAAAATTAATTATAAATATTATAATAAATAAAATTTAACCTGTACTATAAGGACACATGTTAAAAAGTTTTTGTTTGATATTACTAAGATGACACACTTCATGGATTAAGGCCAAGTTTAAATGTGCAACTTTCTTCGCATATGACTTGACTGGTGCATGGTGCCACAAGAATATTTCAGATAATATGTTATAATGCTCAGACTAAATTGAAACATGAACAAGGAGCGATATAAAACTCAAATAAAGGGTAAGAAGAAGATAGAAAAATAACAGAAGAAATATTAAAAGTTTAAATTTTTTTGGTCAATTTGTTGGCAAAAAAAATTAGAAATTAAAAAGAATTTTTTTATGTTTAGTCAATCAATTTAAAGACTCACTAATTTTTATGTTAGCGTTTTATTATGAATTTAAGAACACAATTTATAAAAAAAAATATACTAATGATAATTATTTTCATAAAAATTACAATAATAAATTAAAAAAAATAAAAATTAAAAAATTAAGATCATAAAGGAAAAGTTTGTGAAGTAATTTTAAAATTTTTCAAAAGGCTAGAAGGGGTCATGGCCCCAGCGGTCTCTACATAGATTCGCCCTTGCATCATTGTATGCCTGCCCACCACAAACTAGTAACTGTGGGACCCATATAATGCTTTTGAAATGTGGTAAATAATTTAGAAATTTTTTTTTTAAAGAATGGTAGAAAATTAAAATTTTTTGACAATTAAAATTTCAAAATTTTTTTTTAAAATTAATTATTTAAATTTTTTAATAAATTAACATATAAATTTTTTTAATAAATTAACATATAAAAATTTTTATTAAAAATATTTAAATAATTTTATAAAAATTTTGATATTTTAAATGTTTGGATATAATAATGTTTTTAATTTATGTCAAAAGGACAGGAAAAAATGTAACATCATGCAAACTTTATGGCTGGCTTCCTGTATTTGAGCCTTAATTGGTTCTTTGTGATTGATTTTCAAAATATTCATGTGGAGTGGGTTCCCAGCGACAGATTAAAAATGTTTTCCTGATGACTTATAGATTATCTTATACTAATAATTGAGAAACGAAAGTGGATTCCAACCTAACCTAGTTAAAATTATATTTTTTTATTTTAAAACAATTATTTTTATTTAATTTTAAATTTATTTTAAATTAATTATTTATATATTTT